AGCGGGTCCAGCCATGGCGGCGCTGGATTGCGTCAGCCGCGTTGGAGGCCCCCGAGCCGGGTTCTGCGGGCGGGCGGGCGGGAATGCTGGTACGTCGCGCCCGTCGCCTCCCGCCCCCGCCGGGGGGCCGCTCCCCTGGCTGAGCCGCTTCCTCTGTGTGTCCGCCTGGTCCGCGCGCGTTACTTGTAACGTGTCATGCACCGGGTAGGTGAATCCCGCAATAACCCGAGACCGGCCACACGTGCCAGGTGACACGCACACCTGAGTGACGGTCCAGCTACAAAAAGAGCCAACCCGCTACAGAGTTCGGGCTTAAAATGTGTAACATCTGGCAGCTGGTTTCTGTCCAGCTTTAATATGGACGTGTAGCCAGGCCCTGGGAAGCCCAACCTGGAGCCTCCCTACAGCGTCTTGCTCTGTCGCGGCTCCAGCCCAGCCTTCCTAGATGGTCCGTCCCCGATATTCTGCACAGGCCACTGCTAGTTGTGTTGGTGTTGCCAGATGGCGGGGGGGGGGGGGGGGTGTCTTGGTGCTCCCAGGCACGTGCAGCAAACTAAATAAAAAAGGCCTTGTTATAGGTCCATTTTTTGGCTGCTTCCAGAGCTCTTAACCCCCGAATTGTTAGCATCTCAACACTTTTAAGTAGAGGTGCGCGGAGCGATACATCGGTCCGATAGCAGATTGGCACCAATATGAGGAAAGTTCAGTCCTGGCAATCTGCTTTTTTGGCTGAGCGGCTGATAATGTGGCCCATTAAATGCCACATGTGGCGTTTGCAGTGCAGCACGCAGGCGGCCAAAAGCACAGACCAGCAGTGTGGAGAGCAGCCGGGTCTAGCCAGTAAGCCTGTTGTGAGGGGGGACGGAAGCGGGGGCAGACTGAGGACCCCACAGTGAGGGAGGGAGTGGGGCTGGGGCAGCTGCTGGTGCTGCCGAACCAGGGCACGGCACGGGACTGAGCCACGTGGGGAGAGGGGACAGGTCCCACCACTGCATGCACCCAAGGAGAGCATTGCGGTGGTGGTGGGGGGGTGTATGCCCCTGGATCTGTGCGCAGGGCAAGGGCAGGCTGTCACTGCAGGCTGGGGCCAGGGCGGTGCTCAGCTTTTCCCAGCAGAGGGGCTGGGCTAGGCTGGGCTGCACTGGGAAGGGGAGGTTGGGGACGCTACAGCAAATTTTGGAGTAGTTGCAGCCCCTCCTGTAGCCCCAGGCGCAGTGGTAGCTTGCCCTCACCCTGTGCACAGATCCAGGAGCACATGGCCCCAATGCTCTCCCAGGGTGTGTACAGTAGTGGGAACTGCCCCCCTGCATCCTCCAGACAAACCACTCACAGCTCTATCCCGTGACCAGCCAGCCCCACTCCCTCCCTCACTGCAGGGGCCTTGATTTCCCACCCCACCCAACAGATTTACCAGCCAAATGTTGCTCTCCAAGCTACTTGGCTGCATATGGGAATCAGATCGGTATTGGCTGATATGACTCATTAAAAATTGGCCATCAGTATCGGCCCAGAAAAAGGTAGGGGTGCACCAATAGAGGTTAAGTGTTTTAAAGGACTTGTGATGTGGCTTGAAGTTATACCATTCCAAGGCAGGATTATTTCTTGATCTGTGTAACCCAGTTCCTATTCCATTAAGGTATGGCCACACCTCACAGATGTGCCACTTAGCTTGCAGTCATAGCTTTAGCTTAGCACTGAGCTGATCAATATTTGCATAGCTCAGTGTAATGTGCAACAAGGCCCTAAATCGCCACACTTGTCATCACATTTGAAATGAGCAGGGCAAGTTGAATATATAATTTCTTTCTGAATTGTCCATGGGCAATTCCTGTAATTCTAATTGGGAAGCAGCAAGGTGTTTGTGCTGGGTGTAAGCAGTATCAGTGTTGCCTCTACACTTGTCAGTCCTGGAATGAGAGGCTATAGAAATGCAAAATGTTTGTTTGCTAAAGAATGGTTCCTCCATCCACAGAGGAGTATTGACAGTACTGTAGTGGCGTGGGCCAGTGGCTCTCAAACTCTTGAACTCAAGACACTAGGGCTGTGCAAAGCTTCAATTGCTGATTTGATCTGAAGGAGATTCAGCCTGATTCGGCAGCCAAATCTCCAAATCAGATTGGGAGACCAATAAAAAGGTCTGAATCAATTTGAAGACTCCGAATTGATTTGGAGAGATCTGGGCAGTCCCTGTTCGCTGCTGCAGGGAGCTGGACCCTAACTTTTGAGCAGGTAAGTGGAGGAGGGGGTAGGGGACCATGGGGGACCCCTGCCAGGCCCTGTCAATGGCTGCCCCACCCAACCCCAGCATCCCAGCACTTAAAAAAAACAAAACAAAACACAAACCCTGCATTCACCGGCTGCTGCAATGGCCGTCAGGGCCTCTGGGGCCTTGTGGCAGAGCCTCCCCATGCGGTGCATTGCAGTGAGGGGCAGCAGGGATCACCTCCTCCACCCCTCCCCCCCCCGGGCCTGGCAGGATCCAGTGAGTGCGGAGCTTTTTGTTTGTTTGTTTTTTAAGTACTGGGGCTGTGCAGGGTAGCCATTGACAGGGCTGGGAGAGTGGGCAGGGGACAGGGTCTGTTTGATTCGACCGAAGCCGAATCAAATCACTGTTCCTCAAATCGGCCGAATCTGAAGTGAATACTAGCTGCTTTGCACAGGCCTACAATACATCCCATGGAAAATATTGGCTAACGCTATATATCTCTGATTTAGCTGGCCTCCAAGATGCAAGTCTACCCTGTAGCCTGACTTCAAAATAACCTTGCTAATTACCTATCTTGTGAATCACAGTAGCACATCTAACAGGGCTAATATTACCTAGCATACCAAGACACCCTCAAAAAGATAGAGGCACCCTGGGGTGCTGTAGCACCCTCATTGAGAATCACTGGTTTGGGCAATGTGATAGACCTTTTTGGAATGGCAGTGATAGGCTAATGAAATAAATGCATTTTGCCAGTTATGGAAGGAACTTATGTTTTGAAATTGTCACAGTTTCTAGTGTGGTGGCTTTCTGCAAAACAATATGATTGCTCATTTCAATATATAACAACAGCATGTATATTATTTACTAAACATACAGTGAGATTATCCATTCTACCAGTTTGCACAAAATAAACTCAACATAGTATATAATGATATAAAAGAATAGATGAAATGAAGAAGTAGACAAAATAAAATTAAAGTATTTCTATTTGAGAGAGAGATTTTTTTGGCTTTTTATTCTTCAAGCAAGTAACACACATACACCCAAGACTTACAGAGTGGACTCCAAAATATTAGAAAGAAGTTGGATTGTGTGTGTATGGTATCTTTTTTTTGTTGGGGGGAGTAAAATGGTATCATTTTTTTTCTCCTATTAATGGAGAGATCCATTTCCTCTTATTCCTTCAAAGGACAAACCAGACCACAAATAGTGGCTTTAAGTCACTTATCTCATTCTTCTAGAGTGTCAGCTGTGGGTGTTCTCCCCATGTCACTGTGGAGACAAGAGGCTGCTGCACCACATTTGATCACTTTGTTACACATGCTTGTGCTTGCTTATTGTACTTTGCAAGGTCTTTCATTGTGCATGTGCCTTCAAGCGGTGGGTGTTGCAGCAGGTATTGCATAGTGTGAGACTCAGTACCACAGTCACGGGTGGTTGAACCAATGGTATAGCCCCACTCCTTCATTAGTTCCTTGGAGTGTCCAACTCCAGTACTTAAGTGGTTGAAACATTGCTGCCTCTGCCACGGTTGCTGCAGCAGCAGGACCCTAATGCCTGCCCACCTGCAAACTGGGTTGGGGCCCACCTGCAAACTGGGTTGGGCCCCACCAGCCTGCAGCTGGAAAAGATTAGGCAACCAAGGCACTGATTATCTGGCACCCACTGTTCAGGGAGAATTTGCCTTGA